GAGTATGGGCCCAGAATAAGGCCCACAACAGAGAGAAACATAACATAACATAAAATGACAGTCTATGGGCCATTCGGCCCATCTTCTCTACAATTTTCAACAATCTTTATTTTACTGGAAACAGTAACTTCATTAATACAAAATTAAAATACAACTGTCAACCCCTAAAATAGGGTGTTGAGCCCCAACTAATCTTTATTACAAGACTGCCCAGAACATACTCTCCCTCACAGTCCCTTGCTTAGCCAACGTATCAGCTAAACCATTAGCTGATCTTCTTGTCCATTTGAAGCAAGCACCAACCTCCCTTGTTATATTGAGGATTTCCCTTATGGGTTGTGTATAAATCCAGGCTCCCAACTTGCCTGATTGCAATCAATCAATTAACAGCTTTTGGCAGTCTTTGACGGTCTTTATTTCCTTTGGGACCATCTAATAACAGCTTAAATGGCTAAACTGAGTACCCATTGCCAGGGATCAAAGTATCCGTATTGGATATTATATCAAACAACTTGGATAGGGATACACTTTGGAAACACATGGGTACAAACAAAAAATATGGAAACACTTGGATATGTTAGGAAAATACATTCAAATCATATAAATCTATACTACTACTAAAAATACGAATGAGAGTGAAACTTTTGTTTGACTAATTGTGAGGGTAGAAAATGTAATTTGAGCTACTACTTTTCAACTTATTTAATTCCCCCTCATTAAGTCTCATATTTAAGGTATTAATTCCCATCATCTTTCATTGAATCCTATTCTTGACTACAATGCCCTTGGGCCTTAACTTTCAATTTGGTCCCTTTCTAATTGTGAGGGCAAAAACTGTAATTTGAACTACTTCTTTTTGCCTCATTCAATTCCCTCTCATTAAGTCTTATATTTAAGGTATTAATTCCCATTCTCTCTCAATCCTATATTTAAGCTATTTTTTTCACTAATAAATTGTCATTTTTTCTTCAAATAAATCATGTAAATTAGATCCATATCCAAGACTTTTATCAATATAAAACCCATGTTTAAAACCAACCCAAAAAATGACACCATTTTTCCACCCTAGTAGTGGATAAGTAATTCAACCATCCAAGTCAAATGGGTTAACCCAATACCCATGATGTCATAGTTAAATAATAAAACTTTTAAAATTGAAATAAATGCAAAATAATTACAAAAAGAAATAAAATTGTAGAAAAATTGGGCCATCTCTAATATTTTATATTAATCATATTAGAGAACAATATGTATGATAAACAATAATTGTTTTTTTGGTATTCAACAATAATTATTTTTTTGGTGTTCAACAATAATTGTTTTTATTGATGTTCAAAATGAAATAGAAAATTTATATTGATAAAAAAAATGAAATAGAAAATTTAAAACCAGCCCAAAAATGAAATTGTTTTCCTATTTGGCGGTCAATTAATAGTTCAACCTTTTGGGTTAAATGGGTCAACCCTTGATGTCAGAATTAAATAATAAAAATTGAAAAAAGTAAAAAACACAAAAAAAAAATTACAGAAGCTCACTAATATTTTATATTAATCATATTAAATTGTTTTCCTATTTGGTAGAGGGTCAACAATTTATCCTTTTGGGTCAAATGTGTCAGCCCTTGATATCATGATTTAGGGGTGTTCACAAGAAGAACCAAACCAATAAAACCGACCAAACCGATCCAATCCAACCCGATCTGGTCAGTTTTTTTGAAACTTTTGGTTGGTCTCAGTTTATAAATATAAACAACCCAACACATTTATCAAAAAAAAAAAACCGAAACCAACCCGAACCAACCCAAACCAAACCGACTATGGCTAATAAAAGTCTAATACTTTTGGTTTTGGAATAGAAACAATAGGACTCTCCACTTTTAAGACTTTACACAATACTTTTTACAATTATAGACAGTTGGACTCCACTTTAGTCATTACTTTTTTTATATTAGTCTTGAAGTTGGAGAGAATCGGGCTCCCCTTCATTCATTACTTTTTTGTAATAGTCTTGAAGTTGAAGAGGCTTACACAAAAATGGTAACCATCTTTGGGTTTGGGGTTACTTACTCAGTAGCCTATATGACTTAGAAAAAGATGGTGTTTGACTCAAACATGCAATGAGCCAAATCATCCAATAAGAGCCATATACAAAATAGGTAAAAGAGATTGAAAATCAATAAATCACCCTTGATGACCAATTGACCATCCCCAAACTGACCCGACCAAACCAAAAAACCGATCCTTCATGTTGGGTTGGTTTTCCCTTATAACCGGTCAGTTTCGGGTTATTTGTTTATCAAAATGACCAGGTCGGTTTGGTTGAGCAAAAAACCTACAACCGACCCAACCCAACCCGTGAACACCCCTATCATGATTAAATAATAAAAAAATATAAAAAAGATTAAAAAACACAAAAATTACGAAAAATGCAAACTTTTTTAGAAAACATTTGGGGGCATCTCTAATGTCATATATATAAATCACATCAAACAAAAAGTAAAAAAATGTAGAAAAATTTGGGCACATCTCTAATATCTTATTAAGATAATATTTTATTAATCATATCAAAGAAAAAAAGTGAGATAAAAAAGAATTGTTTTTATTGATGATGGTAATTAAATACAAATTTCAAAATTAACACAAAAGGGAACTTATTTTCATGTTTGGTGGTAGGTCAATATGTTATTCCTTAGTGCCATAATTAAATAATAAATTTTGAAAAAAGTTGAAAACACAAAAAAGAATAAATTTTGTAGAAATCATCTAGACACATCTCCAATATCATATATTCATCATATTGAATAAAAATAGGTGTGATAAATTATAATTATTTTTATACATAGAAATATAAAAGTTGTTGAAAATTTTGGAAACATATTATTACTATCATCATCGTCGTATAAAGCGTGAGAAATTCGCGAGCACTTTTTTATCATTTGTGTTAGTATCATGATTCATGAGAGTTACAAAAAAAAAAAGAAAAAGAAAAAGAAAGGAAGATACCAACGTAAATGAGAAAAAAAAAGATATGTTGCTGAAAGCACGTATACACTTACTAGTACATTAATAACATTAAATCTAGAGCTGAAATATATACGAATGAGGTATAAACACATGAGAAATGCACACTTTAATAGGTTATATAAAAAAGAAACATTATGATCAACAATACCGGGACTCTAGAACATGTACACATCATACAATAATTGTCACTCTATTCCAGTTTTATAATTATAATTTTCAATTTTTATTACAATTTTTGGGAAAATTTATTTATTTAGTATTTTATATAAATAATAACACTATTTTTCAAATTATAATAAATATTGTTTTAATTTTTAACATATAAAAACTATGGAAATCATTCAAGGTAGATAAATTATATTGTTTTTTATAGTTTTCATTTTTTATTAAATTTTTGGAGAAAAATAAATCATAAATTATTTATTTCAGTTATAATTTTGACTCTATTTTAGTTTTTATGGTTATAGTTTACAATTTTTATTAAAGTTCAAAAACTATCCAAAAGTGGTCAATATACAAATCCATCAAACTAGGCATTGATACACTTTGGTATCAATATATATTGGACCATATCCATAGATACAGAACGATATAGTCCAATATGGAGGCATATCATGCAGATATGCATGACTTGTGGGATACATACCCAGTCATGGTGTCTCCTGTATTGATGACCATGGATAGTTGGGTACGGGGATATGATATACCCCGTATTGGGAGTATCATATCGATACTTTAATCCTTGTTCATTGCTTTGTCTTTTAATGGATAATAGTTGTATGATAACATATTCATGGGTATAACAATCAGCCCAACTTCAGTTTCAGTTATTAAGGAGCTAATAACTTAATAACTTATTCACTTCAAGACAAAGCAAAAGTCATTCAGATCAGTCACTTCAGCTGTTATCAAATGGTCCCTTAGGCTTGCTTCTGAATAGGCTAGTGGAGTGGGCCAAGGCTGAAATCTGTTCCTGACTTAAAGGACCATATTCAAAATGGTGCGAGTATAAATATCTTCACATGGATAAGAATTTACTTTGTAATCAATTTGTATCAGTGGCATGTAGAAATCCCTTGAGAATTCAATCCAAATCCAATTTACATGTTGAGAAGGACCAGATATGGGTCTTTGGACAAAACCTGAGTTGGTTCTAGATCCCGACCTGGTAAGTAGATACCATATTCAGATCTTTATTGAGGTCTATCTGGTTCTGCTCCTGATATGGCTGGTTTTATGCCCTAATTATGAAGTTTTAGAAAATAATTTGTGAATAGATAGCTGCAGTAGGTGCCCTGGATATTTTAGAGTTCATGATGACATCAAAGTTGCAATATCAAGATTGATAGCCTCATTAATTGCACATAAGGTACACCTTTATGAATGGTATGCTATTATCTTGCTTTCTTTTTGTTTCCAACTTTTCAATTGACCAGCATGTTTCTGTTTATTTATTTATTTTTTGTGGTATAAAAGCCTCCTTGGGACAAGGAAGTGGGCAACAAATTCATAATTCATTATACTTATGGATGTGATTTTGATATGAAGGTACATTATTAGCACCAAATTCTTTTAGTTTTCTGGCTCCTAATACATTTTTAGATTTACAGAACAAAGAAGCTTTCATACAATCACATCTCATGATGCCATCTTGTGGTTTTCAGGGTAAACCAATGTATGGAAAGTTTGGAGAATGGAGGTTTGACAAAAGATCATATGACCAAACGTGGCCTCCAAGGAATCTTCCATTGCCCCCAGCTGGTGTCCCAGAAAGTGTGGTATGTGTCATTTTTAATCGTATTTTTGGTTTTTTCTATATATCTGGAGTGGACGAAACAAAATAATATAAAATTGAGAAGTTTCTTTCTTTGTTTTTCCCCCATTCCATCTGGCATCCCTGAATTGTTCAGCTTGTTTTTGAAGTTTATATTTCCCTCTATAATTTTAGACTATGCAGTTATCATATTGCTACATTTCGATCAACTGTCCTTTGGTTACCCAAAAAAGTATCTTGTTTTCGTATATAACTAATTTCTTGGAAGTGTCTTGAGCAGCATGATCTTGGGTATGATGCATACCATCTTTCTATTTTCTTCCTCTTGATCTTTTTAAGAAATTAAAATCTGTGGCAGGTAACCTTGGTAAAAATGGTGAATGAAGCAACAGCAAACATTCCTAACTGGGGAATATAGGTAAAAATACTATTGACCTACTACTGGAGGATATAGATCAGCCCTGGCGGATGGTGGAAGTCCATATGCTCCAGAGTTGTAATGTGTAAGTTGTAATTTTATCATGTCTTTTCAGTGCTTCAACAACTACCTATATCCAGGTCACGAGAAGGATGGAAAATTCTGACATCTGATACCATCAATCATATTTGTATTTTTCTCTTCTTGACAGATTTGTTACTTTTCTATCCGGTATTTGAAGATGAGAAGGGAAAAGAGCTATGCTTGTGTATTTTTCATAAATGTTTTTGATTTTGGTGATCATATCATTTGCTAAATGCACGGTTGCTAATTTGGTTTCAGTGTGAGTCTTGGATCATTGGAGAAATGATCCTGCCAAGACATACTCACGCAAGAAACAAAAATGATGAGGTGATCTAGACCATTCCTTCTAATCATTATTTTTGGCCTTGCAGACAACTTGGGGTCCTTTGAATAGTCTATTCCAATTCCCACACGTCTTTTTTTGGGTGTGTATAATACACAATTCCTGCAACTCTGGGAGGTTCAATGCTATCTGATATACAGAATGCTGTCATGTTAATTCAATTGATTCAAATCTGGGGAACCTGGTGTGACAGTTATTATTAGCGTAACAGGGAGGCAATTGATATATTCGTTATTGCTTAACTCCTTGTTTGGCTGGAATGCTAGGGCTGCAACTTGCACCAGGTTGGGCAATGCTGAAGAGGGAATGGGTTATCCTGTACGACAATGCTTCTGGGCCCCAAACGGATAAAGTCCTGACTCATGTGAGAGCCAAAACTTCAGAGAAAAGGACCTCAAAACAGAAAATAAAGAGATTGCTGGTAAAAGACTTCTTTCTTTTCCCACTTTTCTCTTTTTCATGACGGGTTAGGGGACAAGGAAAGGATTTTTTTTTTATTGCACACTTGTCAAAATTTTCAATCAGACTAGGTTCCAGAGGGAGGTAACTTATTTAGGGTTGAATTAGCCAAAATGGATAAATGCAGCTTGACCACCCAAATATAGCACCTAATAGATAAACCTTTGTGATAGGATTCATCAATTATAAGATGCTGGAAAGCCTGGAATAGATTTAGTAGAACCATAGGAAGGATGGTGAAAGGGAGAAATTAGCCTTCTAGTTTGTAACTTTGTATTATAGGCAATTTGGCTTCATAGAAGTTGAAGATGAGAAATGATCTTTTATTCAGAGGGTAAGATCCTAGACCTCCAAAAAGAGTAGAGATGGCAACCAACATGCTCACATTTCACACATCATCTCGGTGCCAATGAAATAACATCAATTTCTAATATGAAAATTGGAGGAAGATGAATAAGAGATTCAAAATGGTTTGATCGATGAAACATCCCAGAAATCATGGAGACCAAGATCAATTGTGATGCTTGGAGATGTGATATGGAATGGTAGCGGAGACCAAGATCATAGAGACCCTGATTGCCAGATACCACAAGTGTAAAATGACATTTGTTTTGTTAGTATTGGATTTTGATCAGAAGGAAATTCTGATAGAAATTAGATAGTGAATAACTGAATAGCATTTGATAAATCCTAATAAAAAAACATTTGATAAACTAAGAGGCCTGTTTAGGAATGTTGAAGCTTTGATTGAACTGCTTTCACTGAGCTGCTTGGGAGAAGCCAGTAAAAGAAGTTTAGCTGCCGTTCTCACAAGTCACAGCCTTCTCAGCCATGCATTGTCCTATGAATAGAAACTAACAAAGATAGTTTCACGTCGATGACATTCCTCACCTCATTTAAGTGTATTTCTGGGTCTCTGGAGTTTACACCAAACATGGCTTCACAGCTTTTCCTATGATGAGCCCTCCCAAACAGGCACCAAGTGGGTCTATAATACCATATTATGGGATGGGAGCAAGGTTCAAAATATCGACCTGTATCGGCTGATATGTATCGTTTTGGGAGCTCTCCGATATGCCCCTACAGAGGGTGTATCGGGGATCCGATTGGTTCAGGGAGTGGAGTCTTAAACCGGTCCTTTTGAACCAATTTTGAAAAAAAAAAGTATCGATATGGCCCGATACGCCCCTACCGGCATATCGGGCATATCGATATTTTGAACCTTGGATGGGAGTAAGTGATCTTTAAGCCCATCTTCTTTTACAGCCAATTCTAAATATTAGTGAGACCCATTTAGTTTGCAAGCTTCATAATCATAAAATGCATTATAGATTTTGCCTGAAACACAATATCAAAAATATTTTTAATTTGTTTTATATATAATATATAATATTTTGTTCATTTTCAGTTTAATTAATTTACTTATACCATTCAATATCTAATTACAGTCCGACTTTGATTTGAATCTAGTATAAAAATCCAATGGATAATATATGATTCATATTCAGATATGAACAAATCAAATTTAGATATACTTATGTCCGAATTTGACCCATTCGCAGCCCTATCACTCACCTTACCATGGAGATGGAGAGTTTGCACTTTGCTGTTATTAGGATTTGATCCCACACCTTTATATTTGAGCCATTCAGCTATCCCAAGTCTCTCTCCACTATGAGCCAGGGACCTTACCAAGCTAGCTAATGCATTCAAAAAACTTATGACTGGCCACAGAACCATCTTCCATCTATTTTCGTGGCATAAGGCAAACGGAAGATGTTATTTGATACACGTGAAAGTTTGGGGGTATTTGAAACTTCTCATAATTTATTCAAGTGTGAAGCGACACCCCAATGGTTCAGCAAGGTTTTTGGAGTTCACCCAAACATAAAATAAAATAAAATAAAGTTTGCTCAAAGTTTTGAAAAATATTAGTAAACAATGATTCTATGCAACTAAATGTCTCCCTTGTCTTTCTTGGGGGAAATTTCTAAAAGTTGCATAGATTCGTTATATTTTTCTACATAAACTAATAAGGCTAAATTATTAATGCATGATTCCCTATGTGGTTCGGTCATATACTTATTCCTCCTCTCAGTATGTATATTTAAAGTAATACTCCCTTTTGCCTTCAAACTAAGGGTTTATTGGCCTGACATCTAGAATTGTAATAATTATTTTAATAGGTGTATGGGAGTTGGATAACTTTTTTTGATTATTAAATATGAACGTAAAGAATATTATTTTAAAATCTGAATACTGAGGTAGAAAAATAAAGAATTGACTGTTTTAACTCTAGATGTGAGAAAGTTTCTTTTAACTATTTAATAAAATAATTAATAATTAATTAATAAATATAAAATGATTAAAAATAAATAGGTAAAAGAATAATTAACTATTTAATAATTAATAATTAATAATATTGTCAATTATTAATTATTATTAGTTAATAGTTATTAAATAGTAAATAACTATTAAATAATTATTTCATTATACTATTGAGGGGGTTGTACTACCTCTACCTGGCCCAATTGCCACATTGACACTAACCTGGCTAAGGAGTTGGTCACAACCTCGGCCGAGTGGATGATGTGGAGCACCATCACACGTCAGAACCAATAGTTGGCAAACGATGAGCTGCTCATGGCCTTCCACAATGGGAAGTGCGGAACCACCCCAAGACCTTGTCCAAAGGCCATCTTGGCGCATACCAAAAAGTGAGGAGCACGACACCACCCCCGACGAGTATTTAAGTGTGGCTTACAAGGTATCTCTCCCTTCAACTCCCTTATCACTAGAGGTGTAAATTGCAAGGCATGGCATGAAGACCCACGGGCCGTGCCAGGTTCGGCACGGAGGTCCCCGTGGCAGGCCGCGCTCGGCCCGCCCGGGAATATAGCCGTTGGGCCCCCCCTACTTTCAGCTTTTGGGAGGTTTACAGAAATACCCCCCCCCCAACAGCTATAAATAGCTATATTAGGGGGTATTTCTGTATTTTGCTTATGGGATTTGAAAAAATGATATAAATGCCCCCCAACAGCTATATAACAACTAGTTTAGGGGGGCATTTTGGGTAAAGTTATAAGTAATTTTACAATGACCAAAATACCCCTCCCAACAACTAAATAACATATAGTTTTTTGGGGCATTTTGGGCAATTGAATTATGTTCAATTCCTATAAATAGCTCTATCATCCACCATTCTCATAATACCATTTCAACAATTCTCTTAATCTCTTCTCTCTCTCTCTCTCTCTCTCTCTCATACTCATACATTCTCAATTATTTGCAATCTGAGAAATTCTGATTAGCTGATTGTCTGATTCTGCATTCTCCAATTATCAAGTCTCAACTTTATCGAAGTTTCGACTTTCAACAATAAGGCTTGCTCAACTAGCTCAAGTATCTCAATTCGGGAGGTTTGGACGTTGAAAGGCTTCAACCGTTGAAATCAAGTTAGGATTTTGAACCGACAACTCGGGTAAGTAGAATTAGATTAATTTTTATCTTTTTAGAATTAAAAAAATGGCCGACTCTTCTCAAAACTGATTCCCCAACATGTTCACCATGGATGACATTCAATCGCATCACAATAGTGTTAGCACTGATGCGATTGATGTCGATGGCTTCTAAGCTGAGTAGCCCAGTTTGGAAAGTTTTCAAAGTAGAGGATATTGAGGGGAAGGGGAAAAGAGCCATTTACCAAAAATGTAAGAAAGACTTTAGTTATTGTAGCAAGGGTGGTACGGGTCATTTGAGTAGTTTTGGTACTTTTAGATATTCACAAGAAAAAATGAGACAATAACTTGCTAAATGTATTGTACATGCAAAACAACCATTTATATTAGCTGAAGATCCAAAGCTAGAAAAATGGTTGTGTAGTTCTGTAAGCCCACAATATAAAAAAGTTTCTAGGAATACTATAAGAATTGATGCTTTAAAATTTTTTTATTCATATAAACAAAATTTAATTTCTTTGTTAGCAAATCTTAATTCTAAAGCTGCAATTACTTCGGATGTTTGGACATCCAAATTTAATATTAGTTATATTTGTGTTACCGGTCATTTCATTGATGAAAATTGGCTTTTGAATAAAAGAATTTTAAGTTTTACTAGGCTTGAATGGCCACATAGTGGCCCAACTATTGCTGCAAGTATTTTAAATACTTTGCATGTTTATGGAATAGAAAACAAATATTTTAAATACTTTGTTGCAAGTATTTTCTATTAGCTTTGATAATGCCAGCAATAATGATTCTGCAATAAATATTTTAAAATCTTAAATAAAACCATGCTTAAATGGTAAATTATTTCACGCAAGTCACATCTTAAATTTATGTATTCAATATGCCTTGAATATTATTTCAAATCATATTTCAAAAATTAGAAATTGTAT